TTTTATAGAAAACTCGCGACGCAAAACCTCTTCTCGCTCTCCCGTACTTACCTCTTCAAACAGAGGAGTAGCGAAAGTGCGAAAGGGCAGGCGATCCGATTAAGAGCTCTTCTCTGCAGAAAATCTTTAATGCGACTCTCCAAGTACTCGAATTAGTAGGACAGGGCTACAGGACAAGTAAGACTGAAACCTAAGACTGTAAATTTTTGTAGGGATAAGTATAGGGTTAGATAGCGCGAAGGCTAAAGACACTGTGACTTGAGCGCCCTCTACAGGATTTGGTTTTCTTGCTACTCACAGCAACCCTATTTTTCAGTTTGGATCGATTATCACTTTCAAAATTGCTGCTTAAAAACATAGTTAATCTTTGTCTACCACTGTAGGTGCTCAATAGAGACTGACTGCTATATTTCATCAAAAACATGTAAGCTCAGAATGCGTGGCGCGTCCAGAACTAATGGGTTAACAGCATACTACCTTGGTCCTAGCGGTGCTTACCTACCAGAAGCCCAAGCTTCTCTTCAGGACGCCCAGAGCACTGGCTTATCAGTCCATGTCCGGCCATCAAAGCCCTCCTCCCCTAATTGGATTTGAATCACCGCCAAGTCAGAAGAAAGGTATATTTGTATACCTGTGTATGTCATGTTTACTCACTTTGAAAGTGGCTGCTCACTAAAGCAATTAGGCGTGTACGTACGGTACGGAAACGTTACCCGAACGCTAACAAAGAAGACACGACCAGAGCTCTCTGACGGCCATCGCAGCATGAAAGCCCACAGGTCGCCGCCATCTTCCTGTGTGTGTATGGGTGGGTGGCCGGGTCCATTTGCGACCACCAAAGAACGAAAGGGAACAAATAGAAGTGCAGAAAAAGGGCTGTGATGAACCCGATTGGAGCTGGTGCTCCCGACCCACCGGTCACGTTCTTACCTAGCCATCACTAAAAGATTAGAGCAAGGTGAGGATAGGACGGGTCCTGTAAGCATGGCTATCCATCCTAAAAACACTTTTAATCTAACTACCCATACGAGGCGCTTTTATGACGTCATTAGGGAACACGTAAATCATGATGCAGTGGTGAGAGGCGCCCTGTGTGCGGGCTCGGTCATCTGTTCGAGATCTGACACGGATCTCCCAAGCCACTTAACCCATATGAGGCGACTGTATGAAATGTGGTACCGCCACTGGCGATTAATTTCCCTTTTCCCACATCTTTCATTGCTCCAAGTGCTGTTTTCTAGTTCATCACTACATACCGTTTGATCGGGTCTTTGGGCCATATCCTCAGCTTCTAGAAAAAGCTTATCTTCACAAAGCATCGGGAGAGATTCGCCTTAAGTAATCACGTCGTTCTACTTCCTTGGGCATAGCCTAAATCTGTCCCTACGCATGCCTAAAACACCATCCCAAATCCCAACACATACAAGTAGATGTTGGATGCGTGGCGCACTCTGAAGAGGCAAACCAGTGCTAAGCATCTGAACCTGGTATCGTTTACGCTTGTCTGTTACGATCGCAGACGACCTAGCTCTTTCCCAGATTACATCGAAGCCCTATATATCAATCGATATACAGCCATAAACCCTTCAACTTTCCCCAGTCTTAAGCCCTCATACTCAGCTAGCTTTCCGATCAGGCCTTTTCTTGATTTGTTACGGAAATCTTTTGCAGGGCATTCAGTTTGTTTGGGATCGTCTGGCAGCATCAGCTCCATATTCACGCCACATTTCATTCCAGCCACGTAAAAAGCGGGATGCCATGTGGTTGACGGCCAGGTGTGCCATTTACGGTCGTCATTTTTTAGGTACGTTAGTAATGGCGCCGTCTCCGTACATCCATCGGTTCAGGTTCATCCAACCAACCAACCGATCGCCGCCATCGTCATCGTTGTCCATCTTCTCCTCCTCCTTCTCCTCCTCGGCGTCGTCGTCGTCATCTACGACATCATCTCGTTGCGTTATTTGGTCGACAAGGCCCCGCCCCTCAAAACAATCTACGCCCTCTCAAAGCTCAGTGCTGCCTGCATCCGTCTGTACCGAAGTCGCACCACGCCCATCACGGGGTCTCGTGGCTATAGCACAAAATCCCCCGTCCGTACCCCAATCACATCAATCCCCCTCTCATCACCACAACACAACTCTTCAATACTACGATCACAGCCTGTCTGTATACATAGCCGGGGTAACATCCGCGGGATACATTCCGACACCGGAAACCGTATGCTAATTACGGTACGCGGCCTCCGTACTGGACGCTCTGTCGTTCATTAGCCATCGTGCACCTGTTCTGAACTGCCCCTATCCTAGCGGCCCGTTCGATTCATTCATTCACTATTGGGGGCACTGCTGGCCCTGGCATTTGCCCCACTTCATTCAACATATGTGCCACTATGCGATTAATTTTACTTCTCATCACTACTTTATTCATTTTGTCAGGTATGTATTTGATTATTTTGTATTTTTGTATATTTTTAGATATTCGTTGATATTTCTTTCCTGTTCATTCCGGATTTCCTTTCGTTTTTTTTTCAAATCAAGTCATTCGAGCCGCTCCTTCTTCAATCCGGTCACGATATTGGCCACGTTCTTATGTGAAGGTCAATAACGGGGCCAGTTGTTGTTTAGAGAACTGGCACTTGGCCAGAACTCGAAACTCGAAACTTCTGCAAACGGTGGTTGTGAACGGTTCAGTTATACGAGTAATTAAACATGGATGACTGAACCATTTCAAAGAGTAATTACCAGTTGACGAGGTAGGGCTAGCAAAAGACCGGCTATAGACCATCGGTGTATTGTATTTCCGTCTCGTTGGATCTATACTTACTAAAGATAATCCGAGAATAATTACCATTCACTACTCTTCCCCTAGCTAATACTACTGTTCCCGTGTTCATTTCACTTGTTCTCCTCAGCAACGACGACGAGTTGCCAGCCATCCGACCACCCTTGAAGGTCGATTTCGTCGTCGCGCGATCAAGAGATCTCTCGAGATCGTTTAATAACGCTCTAATTAATCGTCTTGAACGACCTCATACGTTCGATAGTATTGATTTGCGGTCATACCTGTTACAAAATTACTCGAGTAAAGGCGGCTATTAAGGCCAATGTAGTTGATCGCAATCAATTCTGTCTATGCAGCCCATGTTCCGTTGCACAACCCCAAAACAACGGGGATCAAAGGGATTTGTCGAAGAATACCTGTTTTGCATCTGCCTGCCCTTTGCACTGCAGATATTTCAGTAAAAATATTTACTTATATTGAAACTTCTTTTTTCAACTTTTTATTCTTCATGTCCTAGACAATGTTGCTTACCAGTAAAACCGCAATAATTTTATCTGTGACCTCTGAAAATCACTTTTCAAATGTCTACACGTCCTTGTCTTTTCAAAGGCGACATTCCACAGAGCGATCTCTGAAGCGATGAGCATACGCCTCATTACTTTTTACTTCTTCGCCGCCCGCTGGAATGGCTAAACTGATCCAACCTGACCTACTGAACGCCTTGATTCCCAGGGATCTGTTCAAATCAATCGATCGATTTACCTTTTCGTTCAAATCGATCCGGATCCCTGAAAAAATGAGGGCCTTTTCGAGCGTAATTCAAGCCTAAAACTATTGATTAGGCACTAGCAAGCGCTATTACATACCTTACTTCTCATCATTTTATAGGGTGCTTCTCATAGCTACTTGGTGAGAGATACTAGTTTTACAAGGTAGTTGTCCGGTTTACAATTAGACCATCCTCTACTAATAATATGAACGGGGATAAGCTGGAGAATCCCTCCAAATGTCAAGCTTCCGCTATACTTCTTCAATAGAGACCAAGTTTTCCCATATAGTAGAATTCCATTTATTTTTTTTTAAATTTTGCTAATTTTTACCCATAGTTTTTCTGATTGCCTATCATCATCACCATTATCGTTTACCACTGACGTACCCATGTGGCAAAAAAATTTCGCTTTTCGTTAAAACTGCGATGCGTGCGCAGTGATCAATAATCGTACTATTCGTGAAATGGACTCAGGCATTTGGCTTCTTCACGCTATTCCGGAAAAGCGAAATTATACAGCTTCACAGTAGAATAATTGACTGTGACATGGGATATTCTCCAGTACTCGGAGGGGCTTGCAAGCGAAATTGGAGCAGTTTTGATGGAATCGAATATCCTCCCCAGCCAAATCTTCCCCTATGCCTCATGTTCTTCCCCGCAGCCAATCTTTTCGAAAAAAAAGATGGGAAAGCAGAAAAAATGTTCGAGAGAAGGTGGAATCAAGGGGGCTATTAGAAAGCGGCCTGACGGGCTAGAATGACTGAACGGAATCGGGTTTAGATCCAAAAGTTAAAGATTAAGTCGACTCGAATCTTCATCCTCGGTGTACCTCTTTGTTCGGTCTACTTCCCTCCAACAACACATTTGGATTCTAAGAGACCTTTTTGTCAGAAAAAGGTTTGAGGAAGGAAAAGTAAGCTCAACCATTCTCCGTAAGGTGAATTCCCAAAAGGATACCAAGATTAGCTTCCCCGTTTCACACTCCTTTTGAGGACAGGCGGGNTTTTTTTTTTTGCAGTACAAAGAGGGCGCCTCGTGACTTGCTCAAGTGCTTCGATGTTCTGGATTCTTTATGTGAATGAAACATTGAATCAAGTTACTATTTGCTTATTTGTTTTCCATTATTTACTCAAATGCTACTTTTTAGTTATTCCCAGTTACTCGTTGTCTGATAAAACTAAAGTGGAATTTCTGCTTCAAAGTTTGCTATCTATCAAACACTTCGTCACGAGGATATGGAGGAGGAGGTCGAACTCGCTCCCAATTTTTCAACCCTGGTACAAAGAGAGAATAGGAATTCATGTAGGGATCATGGTTACTGTCTACCTAGTAAACCCTTACTAGTATCACAATGGTGAAGAACTGTAGAAAGTTCATATAGTTAAGAGGGTCATTTCTCTTGTTATCTCATATTTGCTCCAGTACATAGAACCAGACCAGATTCCTTTGATAGGGGGCTTCCGGTTTCCGGATTTTCGATTTCTTTGAACCATCTTGCCTGCAAAAAAAATCCGCTGAACTTTAAAAGCGATAAAATCTACGATGGCATCAAATGTTAGAATACCCGAGTCAATCCAGTTTTGTTCGAATATCTGACCAGATCGAATCGTTTGGATTATTATACTCGAAAAGAGCTATGCATAGGTTTTATAAAATGATTTCGTTTACTTCTACCCCCGCTCACTCGATGAGAACTAGCAAAAACCTTGTCAGGCAGTGGTTCCGATCTTAGGATACTGTTTCTGGCCCTTGGGACTTTTTCCATAATTGTTCGGACCCAAAAACGGGAATCTCTCAAATTTGCTTTTTGGTTGTCGAAAAAGACTCTTCTCTATATGCAAACTTGAAGCCAGGCTACAAAACTGCACTCGAAAGGCAGTATGTTTACGGTTATGCAGTAATGTACCCAGTAACCCATCATTTCGGGATTACTTAGGGCTAGGAGTATGAAGAGGACTTCGTCTCTAACCGTCTCCAGCGAGATGATAAGAGACTCCAATTTATCCCTTTTATTGAGATTGTAATAATCAGAGGGACTACCTCCCATAGGACGAGTTTTATGGATCTTATCGATGAATTCCACTGTTCTTCAAAGTTAGCACGTTTAGGGAAAAGAGTTTCTTTTACATTCGAGAATTCTTGAAATTTTGCGAACGGTTTTTCTTGGTTGTCGAACAAGGTTGTGACAAACACCTCCGTTAGTTATGCGAAACGTTAACCTTGACCGAATAGTTTCGAAAAGGAGTACAACGATAAGAATCGTTCACGAAAACACGATGACACCGTCGGACAAACTGGTAATGAACCCGTTGTCTGGTTGCCCGTGAATCATAATGGATATCTCCCTGTCATAACCTCACCTGTTAGAGTATATAGTATAGTACATCATCCCCCATAATCATTGGACCATTAGAGCCGTTGTGTGATTAGATATGACCTTCACGCGATCGATAATTGTTACCGGGTTCGTCAGTTATTATAGTACTACGAATGCCAGTAATTGTATGAACGTACGGCTGGCGCTGTTGACGTTAGCTGGCTTGATTGGCATTTCTGTTTTACGTAGCATAACAATGACCCATTACAGCTACGGCATGCTGTACTATTCTACTGCTTAGTACCAGTCATGACTTGAGTCAGTTCACTTATTAGCCAAACAGGTCTTTGGGTGCTATATAGAGGTTGGAAAAAAGAAATGGCCTATCCAATCGTCGCACCAGCTAAATCAGTACGCTTTTCCCTTCAGGACCTGTCCTTGCAGGCGTCCCACTCCAATCAATAAACGTACGATTCACTTCAGCAGTTTTGCAGGAGCTTCGATTGTCTTAGCCGGGTCCCAGGCCGCGTCACATTTCGCAACTCATCACTGATTGCTCATCCCGACTGTTCGTAGCCCCGACCGACCGTCTCAAGTACTCCGTCGTCTAAGCACAATCGTCCAACGAAAATATTGCCTCGATTTCAAAACATTTGCGGTTACGATTGAAGCATTGAAAAGGAACGACCGGCTTGGGGAACGAGCAGGTTGATCGGGCAGTCCACCTCCCTGGCCCTAGCCGTTGCACCGTGCCACTAGGGACCTTTTATCTGGGGTTTAAAGATCTGATTAGCTGTCGGTCGATGGGGACCGTTGGTCATGTCACCCAGAGATTATAGGTAGAAACCAGCAAACTTTCTCAGGATTCGGGTTGAACGGGTAGGTTCACCATGGAGGAATCCGTATTGGAAATAAGAATTGAAAACAGCTGAAAAAGTACTAAAAACCACTAGCGGTTTGTTTCTGAGGTCAGTGAGAGCCCTAATCTCTCCTCTGTTCATTCAGTAGCTTCTGCCCAAGAGAAAGGCGTCGACCCAGAGGATCCAACTGCACGGCACCTGAATGTTTAGAAAGGCTCAGCTAGTTCTCTAATGGGTTCTGTGTAAACAATCATAGCTGGGATTATCGCCAGTAGTTATTGAGTTATTGAGACCATGGGGATGGTTCAAGGCTTGACCCTGTGGGTGAAAAATGGTAGTATGAGCGCTAAATGAGTTGCATATGGGTAAAAAGAAAGATTGAGCAGTTTTCGAACTAAACAAACCCGTCAAAAAAAATTTTTAAACTTGCGGGATTTTTACAATGTGGGATAGGAACTGACCAATAAGAATGGGTTCTGGTCACAATCGAGTTTGGCCCGTACGGCACCTGATTGGTCAACTATCGTACCACTGGAGTCGAAGTCAGTTTCGAGAACTTTTCCAGTAGTGAACATCATCGTAGTGGATTTGTGTTACTTTCTAGACGTTGACTAGTGCTGAGCTCGTTATCCTTTGTAATAAGCTGTCGTCTCTAGGAAGGATCAGCGCGCAGGAAATCCTCTTCCATCCGTCTGAGCCATGATGAAATATCCAAACATACTACCTTACCAACTCTGACATTACTAAATTAGGGGAAGATGTTCATAACATCAATGTTCATGCTGCCGAAATTGGAAAGACTTCATGGGAAATTTTAAAACCCCGCCGTTTTATGCTTTAAGTTGGCGGGAAAATGGGTTTCGTCAGAACGCTTAATAGCCCTCCCTCCTCACTTATTAGTATATTTTTATTTTGTTTATTTATTCCTTTTATGCACCTGTAATTTCGACATGTTTGTAGCCATTTTTTTCACTGGTAGAGTCATGTTTTGTAATAGGTGGTGTTCATAGTAATGACGGTGGCTGTTTAGCGTCAGGCGAAGAGCGTGAATGCGCCAGGAACATCTGTTTAAACGGTGGAACATGTCTCGTGGACGACATCTCCAGACGATTCTCGTGCCGTTGTCCACCAGGATTCGCCGGGTCGTTATGTCAAGAGGCGTGCACCCTCAAGTGTGCGAACGGTGTTTGCGTGAAAGGAACACTGGGCAAGGAGCAATGCCAGTGCACACAAGGTATCATCTTTCATAGGCTCATCCCCCAGAAACAACAGCGAAACTGAAAATTCCATTTAAATTCATCGGGCCATCCAACTGAGCTCTTCTCGTGAATTTCCCTGAAATCTGTTTTCAGTAAAAAATTGTTTTATTCATTGAACCGAGGACATCGCTGACCTCATTTTATTGTCTGCGCTACTGGGCCATCAGTGACGGTTCATCGAGCAACACTCGCTTACTGTTTATCGGCAATTGTTGTCGTTGTTGTTCTGGTGTTTAGGTTGGCCCACGTGGCCCGCCTAGGTTCACGCGACTTCACCCTACTACATGGGAACATTACCTTCAGCGCGTCTAGTAATTTTTAGGGGTTTGCTTGTCTGTTTGGGTCCATCCACTCTACTCGATCCATTTGGATTCCCTTAGAAGAGGCATCTGAAGACTTCCCTTCCCTCTTTGATTTTGTGTGACCTGCAAAATAACTGAGTAATATCATTCGTAGTAGCGATTACTGTAAAATTAAGCAAATTTTCTAACATTTTACCTACAAAAATGTAGTTCGTGTAAAAAAAAGAATTCAGTAACTTCAATTCAAGCCTAGCACCCTTTCGATGCAATAGATCCATAGGACAGGTTTTCGCAAGCATCGGTTGAGTCATCGACTCATGTCAATAGAGGGAATCTACAATAGATTGGCCTAATCGATTCTCTTTCGCTTAATTCAGAGCAGATATTCACGGCTATGACTCATTACCCAGGTAATTTGAGTATTTGTAGGTTGGTCCGGCGCTCTCTGTGAGGTGTCTGGCTCATCGCTGGAAGGTTGCACCAGAACCGAGGATTGCGGGATCGGAGAGAGGTGAGAATTTTGTAATAGTGTGAAGATCTTTGCACCAGATGGTGAACTGACTCGGTTTTTCCAAAACTTACTCCAGCAACTTCTAGAGAACAAAAAAAAAACGTTTAATCAATCGTTGGCGATGTTAGGTCTGCGCTGAAGCGATTGATTAAGACCTTCTGAGTCCTGCAGTGACATGAAAACTGTCCTGCGACCACTTGGGCCTCATGACTCATACTTTGAAGGCAACTTCAGGCTAAGAGTAGGAGCGGGATCCTCCAAAACGATTCTAAGTCGGTCAGCTGTTAGGGGACGAGCTGGAAGCGGCAGGACGTTTCAGATTCGTCTGTCAACTAGAATCTCAACGCTATGTAGCGATTCGGTTCTCTTTTGAGCTTTTTACTCTCTGGCAACCAGCAAAGTTATCGATTTACCCACAACAAATCCTAGATGGGCTTTATGAGAAGACTTATTCGGATATGGTGTTTAGTGGAAGGGCCCCTCTAGTCTCCATGAAATCTTAGAGCTTTCTCGGTCCTGTTCCAATGGTAAGTGGGGTTGGTGAAGCTATTTCAAAACTTTTCGGTAATAAAAAACACAATTGAAGTATCTCGCAAAACTGGAAGAGAAATGGGATATGAGCATCGTATTCAGAAATACTGCGAAAATTTTAGAGAGCATCCTTTCATTGGATTTTTTGATGCCATCATTGAATTTACCATGTAGACTTGCTTGTAGATGCATTGAAAACGATCGAGGACTGAAAATCTGCGCTGGCGATCCATGCGAGACGCGACCGTGTAAGAACAATGCCACCTGCGTAGCTGATAATGTGAGTTTCATTTCTATTACATTTATTTACTGCGTTTTTTCTCGGCTTCAGTAGGACAGTGATATGTGGCACTGCACTGCATGTTTAACTTATTAATAAGTATTGGGTCACCCTCATGGGTTAAATCAGAATTCAGTGAGTCCGGCATAATCATGTTCAGAGGAGAAGGTCATCAACCTATAGCTCAGCCTGTTTTTCCATGTTGTATAGGTGAATTGCCGTATCAAAAGTCATAGCGATTTCGAGTTGAAGTAGAACGCGTGGCGCGTCGGTGAAGCGGTGTTGAACGCCAGTCATTCCGTTTTCTTACAACTTCGTTCATATGTTCGGAATTTATTGGTGCCAGTTGCTTTA